ATTTTCAATTCTTTGACAACCCCATCTTTTTTTAGTTTAGAAACGAATTAAAAAAATTAATAATAAATCATCAGAGTGTCCAAATTCAGCGCTGCAAATTTTTGTGGACTGCAGACAACATGTATTTTTCCTTTTATTTAGTTGGATTGCAATTTTTTTAATTATTGTGCAAATTCTAATTCTCTGATCATCTCTTTTTTCCAATTTGGGAAAATTTTTGGAAAATTAACTATAAAACATTGAAGAGTCCAATTTTTGTGCGGCCAGTTGTTTTAGACTCCACACCTTACGTACTTTTTTATTTTACTCAGTTGGATGGCAATTTTTATTTTTTTTAATAATTTTTCCATAATTTTGAATGCTTTGGTAATCCCATTTTTCATTTGAGAAATGAGTTCAAAAAATAAATAGTAAACCATAAGGGACTCTAAATTTGGCACGACCATATTATTTAGACCCCTGACATTAATTAATTTTTATTTTAATTGGATAGATTGCATTTTTTAATAATTTTTGTGCTATTTTTATTTCTTTGATAATCCATTTTTCCATTTTGGGAAAGAATTTGAAAACATTATAAAAAATCGTAGGCGAGTCTGAATTCAGCGCCGCAAATATTTTCAGTAACAATAATTCTATAATTTTTAATTGTCCTATTAACAATAATTCTATAATTTTTAATTGTCGGACAATCCCATTTTTTCCATTTTGGGAATGAATTGAAAAAATTAAAAATAATTCATAGGAGTGTAAGTTTAGCGCAGCCAATTTATTCAGACTCCAGACAATAGATATTTTTTATTTTAATCAGTTAAATTGTAATTCTCTATTTTTTAAGAATTGTTTCCTATTTTTCATTCTTCGATGATTTCTATTTTTCTATTTTAGGAAATAATTCCAACAATTACTAATAAATTGTAGGGGAGTCCAAATTTAGCGCGACCAATTGTTTTTAGGCCTAAGACTATACGTACATTTTCTTTTAATCAGTAAGGTTGTAATTTTCTATTTTTTTAATTATTTTTTTCCCTATTTTTAATTCATTGGTCGCCCAAAATTTCCCATTTTAGAAAAGAATTCAAAAAATTAATAATAAATCGTAGAACAGTCCGAATTCAGCGTGGTCAATGTTTTTAGTCTTCTTACAATACGCACTTTTTATTTTAATCAATTAGGTTGTGATTTTATATTTTTTAATAATTATTTTGCTATTTTCAATTCTTTGACAACCCCATCTTTTTTTAGTTTAGAAACGAATTAAAAAAATTAATAATAAATCATCAGAGTGTCCAAATTCAGCGCTGCAAATTTTTGTGGACTGCAGACAACATGTATTTTTCCTTTTATTTAGTTGGATTGCAATATTTTTTAATTATTGTGCAAATTCTAATTCTCTGATCATCTCTTTTTTCCAATTTGGGAAAATTTTTGGAAAATTAACTATAAAACATTGAAGAGTCCAATTTTTGTGCGGCCAGTTGTTTTAGACTCCACACCGTACGTACTTTTTTATTTTACTCAGTTGGATGGCAATTTTTATTTTTTTTAATAATTTTTCCATAATTTTGAATGCTTTGGTAATCCCATTTTTCATTTGAGAAATGAGTTCAAAAAATAAATAGTAAACCATAAGGGACTCTAAATTTGGCACGACCATATTATTTAGACCCCTGACATTAATTAATTTTTATTTTAATTGGATAGATTGCATTTTTTAATAATTTTTGTGCTATTTTTATTTCTTTGATAATCCATTTTTCCATTTTGGGAAAGAATTTGAAAACATTATAAAAAATCGTAGGCGAGTCTGAATTCAGCGCCGCAAATATTTTCAGTAACAATAATTCTATAATTTTTAATTGTCCTATTAACAATAATTCTATAATTTTTAATTGTCGGACAATCCCATTTTTTCCATTTTGGGAATGAATTGAAAAAATTAAAAATAATTCATAGGAGTGTAAGTTTAGCGCAGCCAATTTATTCAGACTCCAGACAATAGATATTTTTTATTTTAATCAGTTAAATTGTAATTCTCTATTTTTTAAGAATTGTTTCCTATTTTTCATTCTTCGATGATTTCTATTTTTCTATTTTAGGAAATAATTCCAACAATTACTAATAAATTGTAGGGGAGTCCAAATTTAGCGCGACCAATTGTTTTTAGGCCTAAGACTATACGTACATTTTCTTTTAATCAGTAAGGTTGTAATTTTCTATTTTTTTAATTATTTTTTTCCCTATTTTTAATTCATTGGTCGCCCAAAATTTCCCATTTTAGAAAAGAATTCAAAAAATTAATAATAAATCGTAGAACAGTCCGAATTCAGCGTGGTCAATGTTTTTAGTCTTCTTACAATACGCACTTTTTATTTTAATCAATTAGGTTGTGATTTTATATTTTTTAATAATTATTTTGCTATTTTCAATTCTTTGACAACCCCATCTTTTTTTAGTTTAGAAACGAATTAAAAAAATTAATAATAAATCATCAGAGTGTCCAAATTCAGCGCTGCAAATTTTTTGTGGACTGCAGACAACATGTATTTTTCCTTTTATTTAGTTGGATTGCAATTTTTTTTAATTATTGTGCAAATTCTAATTCTCTGATCATCTCTTTTTTCCAATTTGGGAAAATTTTTGGAAAATTAACTATAAAACATTGAAGAGTCCAATTTTTGTGCGGCCAGTTGTTTTAGACTCCACACCATACGTACTTTTTTATTTTACTCAGTTGGATGGCAATTTTTATTTTTTTTAATAATTTTTCCATAATTTTGAATGCTTTGGTAATCCCATTTTTCATTTGAGAAATGAGTTCAAAAAATAAATAGTAAACCATAAGGGACTCTAAATTTGGCACGACCATATTATTTAGACCCCTGACATTAATTAATTTTTATTTTAATTGGATAGATTGCATTTTTTAATAATTTTTGTGCTATTTTTATTTCTTTGATAATCCATTTTTCCATTTTGGGAAAGAATTTGAAAACATTATAAAAAATCGTAGGCGAGTCTGAATTCAGCGCCGCAAATATTTTCAGATTGCACACTGTACGAACTTTTCATTTTAATATGTTAGACTGAAATGTCCTATTAACAATAATTCTGTAATTTTTAATTGTTTGACAATCCCATTTTTTCCATTTTGGGAATGAATTGAAAAAATGAATAATAATTCATAGGAGTGTAAATTTAGCGCAGCCAATTTATTCAGACTCCACACATAAGATATTTTTTATTTTAAATTGTAATTCTCTATTTTTTAAGAATTGTTTCCTATTTTTCATTCTTCGATGATTTCTATTTTTCTATTTTAGGAAATAATTCCAACAATTACTAATAAATTGTAGGGGAGTCCAATTTTAGCGCGACCAATTGTTTTTAGGCCTAAGACTATACGTACATTTTCTTTTAATCAGTAAGGTTGTAATTTTCTATTTTTTTAATTATTTTTTTCCCTATTTTTAATTCATTGGTCGCCTAAAATTTCCCATTTTAGAAAAGAATTCAAAAAATTAATAATAAATCGTAGAACAGTCCGAATTCAGCGTGGTCAATGTTTTTAGTCTTCTTACAATACGTACTTTTTATTTTAATCAATTAGGTTGTGATTTTATATTTTTTAATAATTATTTTGCTATTTTCAATTCTTTGACAACCCCATCTTTTTTTAGTTTAGAAACGAATTAAAAAAATTAATAATAAATCATCAGAGTGTCCAAATTCAGCGCTGCAAATTTTTGTGGACTGCAGACAACATGTATTTTTCCTTTTATTTAGTTGGATTGCAATTTTTTTAAATTATTGTGCAAATTCTAATTCTCTGATCATCTCTTTTTTCCAATTTGGGAAAAATTTTGGAAAATTAACTATAAATCATTGAAGAGTCCAATTTTTGTGCAGCCAGTTGTTTTAGACTCCAAACCATACGTACTTTATATTTTACTCAGTTGGATGGCAATTTTTATTTTTTTTCATAATTTTTCCATAATTTTGAATTCTTTCATAATCCCATTTTTCATTTGAGAAATGAGTTCAAAAAATAAATACTAAACCATAAGGGACTCTAAATTTGGCACGACCATATTATTTAGACTCCTGGCATTAATTAATTTTTATTTTAATTGGATAGATTGCATTTTTTAATAATATTTGTGCTATTTTTATTTCTTTGATAATTCATTTTTCCATTTTGGGAAAGAATTTGAAAACATTATAAAAAATCGTAGGCGAGTCTGAATTCAGCGCCGCAAATATTTTCAGATTGCACACTGTACGAACTTTTCATTTTAATATGTTAGACTGAAATGTCCTATTAACAATAATTCTGTAATTTTTAATTGTTTGACAATCCCATTTTTTCCATTTTGGGAATGAATTGAAAAAATTAATAATAATTCATAGGAGTGTAAATTTAGCGCAGCCAATTTATTCAGACTCCACACATAAGATATTTTTTATTTTAATCAGTTTAGGGTTTAGGGTTTAGGGTTTAGGGTTTTAGGGTTTAGGGTTTAGGGTTTAGGGTTTTAGGGTTTAGGGTTTAGGGTTTAGGGTTTAGGGTTTAGGGTTTTAGGGTTTAGGGTTTAGGGTTTTAGGGTGTAGGGTTTTGGGTTTTAGGGTTTAGGTTTTAGGGTTTAGGGTTTTAGGGTTTAGGGTTTAGGGTTTAGGGTTTTAGGGTTTAGGGTTTAGGGTTTAGGGTTTAGGGTTTAGGGAGGAGGCAGCATTCAATTCTAGAGAGAGAAGCTCTCACTTCTCTCTAAAAATTTTCCATTGATTTTTTTGATTTTATTTCACTTTCTTGATTCTTGTGTCAGATTCAGATTTTTTTGATCATTCTTTGGCTTTTCTACATGGAATCGGGTACAATCCAGCATCCAATTCCCCCAAAACCCCCAGATATTAAAAAAAAATTTGCTTCTCTTTTTAAGAAACCCTCGGTTATCGCGAACGTTGGGAATGCAGACTCTTCTCGTTCTGATCAAAATCCTGGAATGGACTTTTCGTCTTCAGCAGTTTGTGTGGGTACCCAATCTTCTATGCCTCTGACTTTACCTTTGGTATCTCAATCGATTCTTTTTCCCCAAATTTCTCAAGAACCCGGTGTTTCTCACAGATCTTCAAACCATCCAATTTCTCGGTCTTCTTCTCTTCCTCAAATTAACTTTTTTGGCCAAGATTCATCAGGGATTCAGCGTCCTCTATCGATTCAGAGCTCTCTGGTTCCTCAAACTTCTTTAGCTTCTCATCTACCTGTTCCACGACAGTCTTCGATCGCGAATGTTCCTTTGGTGGATTCTGGTAACTCATCTCTGGGAAATGGTTTGTTAACTTCGACTGGGATTCCCAAACCAGCGAAGAGGGTTGTTTACAACAATGGTGAACCTGGAATGTATTGGACCTCTGAAGAAACATTAGAGTTGTCGAAGGGTTTCAGTCAAACTCTAATAGGGAAATGCGCATATGGTAAGCCTTCACTGGGAGTTATTCGAGAGTTTATTGCTACAAAGTGGCTTCCCAAAGGTGAATTCTCGATAGGTATTTTAGATCCTAGACACATACTTATTCATTTTAGTCTTCTGGAGGATTATGTGAAGACATGGCTGAAAGATGCTACATATATAGAAGGTTTTTTGTTCAGATTTTTTAAATGGTTCCCGGAATTTCTTCCAGGAATTGAACCTCCAATTGTTCCAATGTGGATATCGTTGCCTGGGCTTCCTGTTCATCTCTTTAATAGAGAGAGTCTTCGAGATATTTTGAGTCCAATTGGGAAAATATTGGTGTTTGATAATTCAACTTCGCAGCTGACTAGGCCAGGAGTGGCGAGGGTGTGTGTGGAAGTTAACTTGTTGCAGTCTAATCCTAGAAGATTCTGGCTTGACATGGGGGGGAATAGTGGTAGATGGCAAAAAATAGTATATGAGAAGGATTTTAGGTATTGTGCTGCTTGTCTGAAACAGGGGCATGATGGAAATACTTGCAGGAAAAAGAGGATTGTAAAAGGGGATGACGAGAAAGGGAATGGGCAGAATGTTGAGGTAAACCAGCAGAAAAGACCAATATTCAGAGTGGAGAGGATCATGTTGTGATAAATATTGCTGATAAAGGGAAGGGAATTGTACAGACTATGCCAGGAGGAAATCAGAAACAAGCTTTTAAAAGAAAAGAAGTTGTTCATAAACCAGAGATTGGAAATAGATTCAGTGCTCTGGCTTTTGAGGAACAGAGTAATATTGTGGAAAGTGGAGACAATTTGATTGAGCCAGCCGCACAAATTGGGGAAAAAAATTGTTTGCATGAAGTAGAGGAGGAAATTTTAAATGTTTCAGGTAGAGAAAATGTGGAAGTTGAAGGGGTGGATAAAGTAAATGATTTGATTACAGAAATGAATGTTCCTATTGAAGTTGATCAGGGTTCTGAAATGCAGATGAGAATGTCAAAATCAGGGGAAGATGCTGAAAATACTTCTTTAATTGTGAGGGGGGTGCAAGAGTCTAAATCTTGTGAGGAAATTAGAGAACCAGAGTTACCTGAAAGTCAAGGGGTAGCAGGAGAGGTATCAGTTACGTTAATGGAGAAGGGGAGTAGGGATAATTGTGTAGTGCTAGTTGAACGAGAAGTTTCTTTTCATGTGAATGACAAGTCTTCTTTTTTTACTGGGAATGAGGGAGGAAAAAGTGGAAAGATGAGAGAAAAGGAGAAAGGGGAGGGAATAGATGATACTGTGTGTTGTTTAAACAAGCAAGCATCTCTTTCTTCAGATTCTTCTTTTTTTGTGGATAGACATTATGATGTTAGACAAGTGTTGCAAGTGTCTCAGGATGATAATGATGGTTTGGTAAAGGAAAATGAGCTACTTGAAAAAGGTTTCTTATCTGATCAAGGTAGTTCGAAGACTTGGGCGGATTTATCGGAAAGATTTTCTGATGATGAAGAGGTTCATGGTTTGGAAATAAGGCAAAGTCCTGGGGTTAATCCTGAACATATTTCCTCATTATGAACTTAATAATGTGGAATGTGAGAGGGGCTGGTAATGAAAGTATGAGAATCAGATTAAAAAAGCTTGTGGTGATGAATAAAGTTAGTTTTTTGGCTGTGTTAGAACCAAAAATGTTGGCAGTAAGGATGAAATCTTTTTCTGTATCAGTGGGATTGCGTTTTTTTGTGGCAAATACTCAAGCGGAGAAGAATATATGGTTGTTTTGGAAGGAGGGAGTAGATGTGAAGGTGATTTTGGAACATGAGCAGGCTATTACTGTATCTGTTTGTTGCTTGGATTCTGATCCAATTCTTGTGACAGTTGTGTATGCGTGTTGTGATTACTTGTTACGAAGGCCTTTATGGCAACATATACAAGTAATTTCTTCTTCTTTTTCTTTGCCTTGGTTACTAATGGGAGATTTCAATACGGTGTTGTGTTCAGGGGAGAGATTGGGAGGTGCTTACCCCTCTGTTGTTGCGATGGAGGATTTTGGTAATTGTATACATTCGGCTGGGCTGGTGGATTGTGGTTTTGAGGGGAGTAGCTATACTTGGTGTAATAATCATCAGGGGGGAACAAGAATGTGGCAGCGTTTGGATAGGGTTTTTATAAATCCTATTTGGAATGCTAAGTTTGATAATTCTCAGGTGGTACATTTAGCGAGAGGAAGCTCAGATCATTGTCCTCTGGTGGTGAAGGTAACGGAAAAAACTGGGCAACATCGAATTTCTTATTTTAAATTTTTGGATATGTGGACTGAGGAGGCTTCTTTTTTGCCACTGGTTGTGGATGTGTGGCGTGGTTGTTTTTCTAGTAATCCTATTGAGGATTTTTTCTTAAAGTTAAAATTTCTTAAAGTTCGACTGAGAGGATGGAATAAAGAAGTTTTTGGGAATATATTTGAAAAAATCAAGTTACAGGAGATGGAAGTGTGTAATGCTGAAAGAACACTGGAGGCTGATTTTTCAGAGAGCAGTCTTTTGAATTTGGAGAAAGCAAGAAAGAGTTTGGATGATACCTTGCGGTTGGAAGAAATGTTTTGGAAACAAAAAGCAAATGTAAAGTGGGCTTTAGAAGGAGAAAGGAATACAAAATTTTATCATGCTATAGCTAAAGGGAAGGCAGTCAGAAATAGTATAAAAAGAATTAAATGTGAGAATGGGAGCTGGGCTTGTTCTGAAGATGAGATTGCTGATCAAGCAGTGAATTTTTTTGCATCCTTATATAAATCTGAGGATCATGTTTTGGATGAAGTATTGTTTGAGGAAATTCCGTTTCTTGTGAGTGAATCAAATAATGAATCGCTGACTTGTCTGGCTTCCATGGCAGAACTGAAGAATGTGGTATTCTCAATGGCAGTGGAAAGTGCACCAGGTGCTGATGGGTTTTCTGGGAAGTTTTATCAAGTGGCTTGGGATGTGATTAAGGAAGATTTGTTAAAAGCTACAAATTTTTTTCTAGAAGGTGGAGTAGTGCCAAGGTCGGTGAATGCCACTTTGTTGGCATTGATTCCAAAGAAATTAAATCCAACAAGTTTTGCAGAGTTTAGACCTATTAGTTTATGCAACTTTTTGTATAAAATCTTTACAAAGTTGCTTGCTAATAGGTTAGCTATTTTCTTGCCTTCTTTGATTTCGGATGCTCAGCATGGTTTTGTGAAAGGGCGCAATATAGGGGAATGTATTTCACTAGCTCAGTATATGGTCTCTGAACTGGATAGAAAAGTGGAGGCAGGTAATATAATAGTTAAGCTTGATATGATGAAGGCGTACGATCGTATTGAATGGGATTTTCTGAAAAAGACTTTGAGATGTTTTGGTTTTTCTGATCTTTTTGTGTCCATTATTGGAAATTGCTTGAATAATCAATTCATTTCAGTATGCTTAAATGGTCAGGAAAGGTTTTTTTCCTACATCAAGGGGGTTGAGGCAAGGGGATCCAATATCCCCGTTGCTTTTTATTTTAGCAGAAGAAGTTTTGAGTAGGGGGCTGTTGAAGTTGTTTGCTGAGAGGAAGATTAAGCCTTTTCATACTGGGAGAGGGGCTATAATGGTGTCTCATTTGCTGTTTGCTGACGATACTTTGCTTTTCTTGAAAGGAAATAAAATCTCGCTGGAGGTATTGTTTTCCTTTTTAAGTAAGTATGAAGCAAGTTCGGGACAGAGGATTAGCAGGCCGAAAAGTTCAATTTTCTGTTCGGCAAAGATTTCACAGGGAAGGAAAATGATTTTATCTCGAGTTGCTCAGATTCCTATAAAAGAATGTCCTTTCACGTATTTGGGTTGTCCCATGATTAAGGGGAGGAGCAGAATTAGAGATTTTGAAGATTTAGTTCTGAAATTTAAAGCTAAGTTGGAAGGATGGTATGCTAAATTGCTGTCTAATATGGGAAGAGTTGTTTTGGTGCAGAATGTTTTAAATGCGGTACCAGTGCATCTAATGTCTTGTTTGAATCTGCCCAAAGGTATTTTGAATAGAATAAATTCTTTGATGGCTTCTTTTGTTTGGTCTGGTAAAGAGGGAGTTAAAAAGAGACATTTGATTTCTTGGGATGATATAACACGGCCAAAGCAGGAAGGGGGTTTGGGGATTAGAAAATTTGAAGATATTCAAGCTGCTTTTCGTATGAAGCAGGTCTGGAATATATTGCAGGGGAAGTCTCTTTGGGTGAAGGTTTTCTCTGCAAGATTTTTGAAAGATCAGCATGTATTGAGGAATTCGGGACAAAGGAAAGCTAAGGTTTTTCGTATGCTGCAACCTTGGTTTTCAATTGTGGTATCTCACTCTCGATTTATTGTTGGGAATGGTGAGTTAGTGGATTTCTGGTGTTCTAAGTGGCTTTAATCTGGACCGTTGTTGAGCAGACTTGGGGTAATGCCTCAAGATTTTCCAAGAATTGCAGAAGTTTATAAAGAAAATGCTTGGCAGTGGCAAATGTTGGGTGGTTTAGTAGATGATGGAATGAAAGAAGAGATTATGAATTCGAGAATTACTCTATCTGATAGTACTGATTTTTTGGTATGGGAATTGAGTGATTCTGGGCAGTTTTCGGTGAAATCAGCTTGGCATTTGGCAAGACAGGCTGGTAATGAAGAAGTGGTGGTCAAGGCGATATGGGCACAGGCTGCTCCGCCTAGTGCTAAGTTGTTTTGCTGGAAAATTAAAAGAAATGCAGTAGCGTTGGATGTGAGGTTTCAGAAATTGGGGGTGAAGTTAGCCAGCAGGTGTTCGCTATGTTATAAAGCAATGGAAAGTGGAGCTCATATCTTTATTCGATGTGAATTTGCTGCACAGGTATGGCAATATTTGGCTGGTTTTTTTGGATTTAATTTGATTGAGAATGAAGGTCCTATGGGAAGATTAATGAGACTAGTAAGAATTTTCAAAAAACAGTCTCTTACTCATATTCTAGTTAGGAGTGTGGCTTTGGTTGTGTTTTGGTTATTATGGAGAGAGAGATGTAGAAGAGTTTATGGAGAAGGATGTTTGTCTGCCTTTTCTATTTTCAAGAATACTTGTAACATTGTTAAGCTACAAGCTTTTGGAATTCGGTCAAAAATTCCTGACAGTATGTATGGAAAGAAAATGTTGCAGGAATTGGGAGTTACTAGATGTGGAAAAATTGAAATAAAAGCAATATGGGTTAATTGGTCTTGCCCAATGGAGGGATGTTTGAAATTAAACGTGGATGGAGCTTCGAAAGGGAATCCGGGATGTGCTGGTGGGGGTGCAGTGATTCGAAATCAATGGGGTGACTTGGTGATTGCAGGATCTTTTCATTATGGAAACTGTTCTAACATGGAAGCAGAATTAAGGGCCTTAAAAGATGGTTTATGTCTTGTTGAAAAATATGAGTTGTTGGGGTACCGAATACAAGTGGAGGCGGATTCTGAAATTATGGTTAATATGGTAATGAAAGGGCATTTACGTGCTTGGAAATACTGGGAGTTGATGAGGCAGATTAAGGAGATTTTGGGGAGATTAAATTTTCAGTTGACACATGTGTACAGAGAAGGAAATTCAGCAGCTGATTTTTTTGCAAATTGGGCTGTACAATGTGGATGTTCTATGGAATTTTCTGCGGCTTCGGACATTCCTCTTCCAGCCAGGAGATTGTTGCTGTTTGATAAAAATGGGCATAAATACTTTAGAAAGAAAATTGTATTTTCTTGATTTTCTTGGTATTTTGGTAATAGTAAATTGTAAAGGCAGGCATGTCTGCTTTTTCTTTGATTGTAAATTTTCGTTTATGGAATAAAAATTCTTGGTTTCTTTAAAAAAAAAAAAAAAAAAAAAGGGTTTAAAAAAAAAAAATAGGGTTTAGGGTTTAGGGTTTAGGGTTTAGGGTTTAGGGTTTAGGTTTAGGGTTTAGGGTTTAGGGTTTAGGGTTTAGGGTTTAGGGTTTAGGGTTTAGGGTTTAGGGTTTTAGGGTTTAGGGTTTTAGGGTTTTAGGGTTTAGGGTTTAGGGTTTTAGGGTTTAGGGTTTAGGGTTTAGGGTTTAGGGTTTAGGGTTTTAGGTTTAGGGTTTAGGGTTTTGGGTTTAGGGTTTAGGGTTTAGGGTTTAGGGTTTAGGGTTTAGGGTTTAGGGTTTTAGGGATTTAGGGTTTTTTAGGTTTAGGAAGGGCAGTTATTTCTTTTTAGAGAGAGAAGGTCTGACTTCTCTCTAGAATTTTCTTTTTCTTCTTCAGATCTTCTTCATTCCTATCTCATTTTTCATTCTTACTTGTGATTTGTTGTAATTCTTACTGTTTTGATTGTCATAGCATGAAATCTAGCCATGAAATTCATCAGATTCCTCCAAAACCGCCTGACATTACCAAAAATTTTGCCTCCTTGTTCAAGAAAACCACATCTGTAGAAAACTTTCGGACAATTCCTGCTGCTTCAGAGATCCATTCCTTAACACTTGTTGATCCTTTGGGATGCAATAACACCGTTTCTATGCCTCTGGTTTCTCAGCTGAATCGAAATTCGATGAATGTTCAAAATACCTCTGTTTTCCTTCGGCTGTGTTATCTTCAACAAATAATCAATGTTCGTCATCTGGATTAGGAATGCCTATTCCTGCTGACTCTTCGAATGTTCGAAATGTTCAAGGAGTTAATCTGCATTCCCATTCTGTTTTGATTCCTCCATCCATTTCATCTTCTCAAGATCCTTCGATTGACAGACTTCTGCCAAAAACTCAGATCCCGATTACTGGAAGAGATTCTCAGGTTCCTCTTGTTACATCGAATGCTCAGAATCCTTCTACTATTCAGGTTCCTTCGCCTCCAATTCTATTTGGTTCCTTAAATGCTGTAAATCCTCTGAAGCCTACGAAGAGAGTTGTGTTTAATAAAGGGGAACCTGGTATGTATTGGTCCCCTGTTGAAACTATGGAGCTTTCCAAAGGTTTTAATCAAACTCTTATTGGCAAATGTGCCTATGGTAGACCCTCACTGGGTGTGGTAAAAGAGTTTATTAATTCTAGATGGTTATTGAAGGGGGAATTTTCTGTAGGAGTGCTTGATCCGAGGCATGTACTGATTAGATTTTCTTTGTATGAGGATTATGTGAAAGTATGGCTAAAGGATAATACATACATTGAGGGTTACCTCTTTCGTTTCTTCAAATGGTTTCCAGAATTCTATCCTGGGATTGAGCCTCCTGTTGTACCAGTATGGATATCTTTGCCAGGTCTTCCAATCCATTTGTTTAATAGAGAGAGTCTGAGGGACATATTGAGTCCAGTTGGTAGAATTTTGGTGATAGACAATGCTACTCTAAATCTCTCTAGGCCTGGTGTAGCCAGGGCTTGTGTGGAAATGAATCTTCTGGCCAGTAATCCTAGGAGATTCTGGTTAGACATGGGGGGAGTGAGTGGTCGTTGGCAGAGGATAGTATATGAAAAGGAGTATAAATATTGTCCTGCTTGTCTTAAGCAAGGGCATGATGAAATATTGTGCAGAAGAAAGAAGAAAGTGGAAGGTGATGCCTCTGAGAATAAGCAAACAACTGAACATGTTTTTAACAAGGATGAGGAATGGAGGAAAAAGAAAGGAAAAACTATTGTTATAGATGGACTGAGTGTGCATCCCAGAAAGGAATATAGACAGAAATCCATGAATCAAACTACTGCTGTGGAGAATAGCTTTGCTGTACTGAATGAGGAGGTTGGAATGGAGGAAATGGATAATGGCAGGAATTTATCTGAAAGTTTACCTGAAAAGGTTATTGAAAATGGATTATCTTCTGTTATTATGGTGAATATTGATAATGCTGCAATTCCAAATATTACAACTGTTGATGCTGAGGTGGGAAATGCAAGGGTGATTGGAATGGAGGATATGGAAAATGGTAGGAATATGGCTGTATTGGGGCAGACATTCAGTGCTGATAAGAGTCCTGATATTGGAGCATCTGTTGCTGATAAATTGATTACTGATCCAGTTCCACAGGAGATGATCAATGTGTGTAATATTGCAAATGCTGCTTTGATTAATGATGTTGTGGGAGTTGAGGTTGGGTCTTTTGATATTTCCCCAATGGTTGTGGATTGTGGAAATCAAGAGGGTGATGGCACTGATAATGTTGGCATCAGTCTGGAATCTCCTATTCTGCCAGATCATGAAGGTACTAACTTGGAGATTTCTTACTCTTCATCTCCTATCTTTTTGCCTGTTGCTAATGAGGTGGTTAATGTGGGAAATATTGATGGAAACAATGTTAATATAGGGGAAAAACTAGTTCCTCTTAATCAGAGTTTGAATGATGTCAACCTAATGGAAGTTCTTGGAGAGTGTAAAACTCTTTATGCTCAATCCTTGGGTTCTTCCTTTTTAGTTGAAAATGGAATGACTGTTATAAGAGGGAGTCAGAAGTCTTTAGATGATCAGAATGGTTTGATTAGAGTAAGAGAACCTCCAGATAAAGGTTACTACTCTGATCAGGCTAGTTCTAGGACTCAGAAGGTTGTAAATGTTGATTCTGATAATTCTGGTAGCTCTTTGGATGGAAATGAGGATGATAATGGATTTAGTTCCAGTGGTGTCCACTCTTCTATGAATTTATGATTAATTTTCTATCATGGAATATGAGAGGGGCAGGTAAAGATGCTAAGAGGAGGAGATTAAAGAAACTCATTAAATTGCATGATGTTTGTCTTGTTGCAATTTAGGGTTTAGGGTTTAGGGTTTAGGGTTTAGGGTTTAGGGTTTAGGGTTTAGGGTTTAGGGTTTAGGGTTTAGGGTTTAGGGTTTAGGGGTTTAGGGTTTAGGGTTTAGGGTTTAGGGTTTAGGGTTTAGGGTTTAGGGTTTAGGGTTTAGGGTTTAGGGTTTAGGGTTTAGGGTTTAGGGTTTAGGTTTAGGGTTTAGGGTTTAGGGTTTAGGGTTTAGGGTTTAGGGTTTAGGTTTAGGGTTTAGGGTTTAGGGTTTAGGGTTTAGGGTTTAGGGTTTAGGGTTTAGGGTTTAGGGTTTAGGGTTTAGGGTTTAGGGTTTAGGGTT